TATTTTTATTTTTATTTTTTTTATATTTTAAGTTATCATTTACTTTGTCTCGTTTATTTATTAAGTTTAAAGATTGGACGCGCACATTTTATCTTACATCTTGGGTTTGATTTTTTCGTTTTTGCCGTTTTGATATAAAATTACCAAAGTGAGGTTGGTAATTTCCCGTATACTGGTGTTTATTACCCGCATTTGGTCGGTAATTTTGATGGTGATTATAATTATTATTGTAATTATTGTTTGTAAAACCACGATGTTGGTAAGTATTAGCTGGACTAGTGCATATTATTCTTTGAGTTCGTGTAGGTGGGTGATTATTACCTAAAATTGTTTAAATCGCTTAACATTAATTTGTAATCAATTGAAAATATTTTTAATGATAATTACCAGGATTAATCATTTGATAATTTTGTTGATTATTCCAACTATTGTGTCTATGATAATGTGGATTTTTACGTCTGGGTTGGTAATTACTATTCTGATCATTATGGTCGCCAGCATCACTTAATTTTTCTATACTACTCTCAGAGTCCTAATAAATAAAATTTACATCAGTTATAAAAGAAACAAGAACAAAATAAGTTTACATAGACACTTACAGATTCAGCTGATCCAGAACCAGAAGATACTGTAGAAGCTCTACTACTAGTAGTGGTGGACACACTAACATTGTTACTAATATTACTAGTGGTCAGATAATTATTAATTATAACTCTTTGAGTATTTTGTAAGGCATAAGTATCTCTAACCCACTGCCGGTAAAGTATAACTTTGTCATTAACTCGTACTATTCGCCCGAGTATACTGTGACAAAAAGTAATTATTTACATTTAAATAATAGAAATTAATTTAATATATTATGAATCATTCAAAAGTTTAAAATGAATAATTCATTTCATTACATGTGATAGAAATAAAATAAAATAAAAACAAACCTAAAATTAGGTGAAACAATTTGAGGGTCAAGTGCAGCTTTTAATGTGGTAAATGCATATTCAAATACACTTTTTACTTGAAGAGCACCATAAGAACCACGACCAATATCATTTCCAGGGGTTAATGGATCCTCTATACACAAAATACTTGGTCTATGACCATCAACCATGTCTTTTTGGACCTATAAAAATATATTAATTAATGTACATACTGTAGGAACTATATAGTATGTTTTATTACTTCGTCTTTAGATATGTATAATCCACCATCTTTTACACGTATAGCTGTTAGCATATAGTTAAATTTTTTGCCATAAAGTTCAAAGAACTCTATTAACAATACACCTAGATTGGCAGTGGGGTAATTTAAATCTCCTCTAGGATGTAACTATATACATAATAAACATAAGTGATATTTTTTTTTAAATATACATGAAATATTTTATAATTTAAGGTACCTGCAAAAAACTGACGACCATAAGGATCAAACTATAAGAAGATATGCCACCATAGAACACTTCATTCATGTCCCGYTGGGCTAAAAATTGTTTTAGCACTAACACAAGTTTAGGAAGCATTGGGAAAACATCCATATAATGTTTAATCATTTCAGCTGATTTAACACCATTATTCATGTTAAAACTAATATCCACTCTAACATCAGTAGCCTTATCTGTCATTTTGACGATTGGAACCTAAAAAAAAACCAGGGGAATATATATGCATACAATTAAAAAACAATCAATTAACAATATATATATATATATATATAAGATCAGTAATAATTAAACAATATTCATAATAAAAGAAATAACTCACCGATGCTTTGTCAAGAACTTGAATGTTTTCATTACAGACACTATTTTTAAGTAGAGCTTGAGCAAGTGTATGCAATGGTAATGTATCCCATTCTCCTATTACTACCAGATCCATATCACTAAAGTATAAATAATAGTAAATACATTAATAGTTTAAACATTAGTGACTTTAAATGATAAGATTATATATTTTTATATATATTACAGGATATTTATGTGATACTTTACCTAGTGGGCAAATAAAGTCCAGTTCGAAAACTACCAAACACTTCAACTTTAGCTTTAGGCCATTCAGCATGTATAACATTAGTAACACGTTCCAGTACATCAAGCCGCATGCTATGCTCTTCTGGTGTGGCGGACATATATGCAAAAAAGTCTTCTATCTCTTTATGGAGGCTAAATCGTTAAAATAATGATTATAATTAAATTTTTTATTTAATTTCACTTCAAACATACGTGCAAATTGGTTGGCGGTCATAACTTTTTCCATGCCTCCATGGACATCCACCAAATTTGCCAATGTAATGAGCTTGCATTTTGTTCATGTCGTATGTACTGGCTATATTTGTGAACAAGCCGTGCTCATATAAATTACTAGTTTTAATTTCTTGATCGTCTATAGAGAAATCAAACTTCCAATCCAACGGCAACGTATATTCGTTGTCGTCTTCTTCTTCTTGAAGAGTTTCAGTACTATACTTATCGTCGTTACTGTCTGTATCTTCAGAGGAGTCCAAAATTCTGGACCAAAATTCTTGAGCGGGACCTACTTGTTCTGGTTGCAGCCAACCTATCTGAGGATCCATTTAATTCATCACTAATGCGGTGTCGCACACTAAAAAGTACAATTCAATATTAAAAATTTTTCTAAAAATGTACCATCTACATTAAATGAAGCAACCAAAATTTAATAGAAATAAAAGATTACGAGTTAATTTAATAATTTTTTGCTATCTTTTAGTAACATACATGAAACATATAAAGAAATTCTCTGAAAGCCATTTGAAGTAAAAAAAAAATAATATTTTTTAGTTTTTAATAATATCTATCATGAAAGAAGAAGCTAAGATTTTAAATGTTAACCTAACATAAATTAAGAATTTTTTGTTACAAATTTCATGTAAAACTAAAACTAATTAGAAATAAGCTGTTGGTAAATATTAATTGAAATTAAGTATTGAATTTTCTTGATTTTTCTATCATAATGCATGCATATTTTTAGTTATGTAAGAATTTAAGCAAATAAATACTTCATATGACCCTCACAATTTGTATCAAAGCAGAAAGTAGACAAATTCAAATAATGAAGGTATAAGAATAAAAAAAAGCTTGTGCTTAATAAGTCTTTCTTATTAAAAATGTAAAGATGCAAGTGAAGAAATAATAATAGTTATAAGATATAAAGTATAGGTAATAAATAGAAAACTGAAAATATACTTTTACATAAACATGATTCAAATACCTAGAAATATTAACAGCAGGATTCATTGCGCCTGAAGAGGACAATTCTTATTTTCTGAATATCAATCACCTTAAACCMAAATGTTCACACTATTAACCATATTTTTAAAATAATTTTTATTAAGTAACATATTTAATGTAGGTGTATCTAAATGATCTCAAGTTATTATCTTGTTGTTTTCAAATTATAATGATTTGTTTTCATTAAACCGAACGCAACCCCGCCCAATAATTGTCTTGTTAAATTGAGGTTTAAAAAACTTCTATGAATTAAATAACAATAAAATTTACCGAAATAGAAAAGGATTTCTTCCAACAGTAACATATAAGTTATAACAGTATACAACCTATATCTCCTTCAAGAAATATATTCTAAATTAAAATATTTTTGAGCTATACACCACCACATAGTTTTGAATTAAATTTTCGAAATTCAACCACCTGCAACAGTTTGCATGTAGGTTAAAAACTGCTCTAGGCCACAGGAGAACACTTCACACAGCTCCATGGTAGTCTAGGGAATTGAGAAACTTAACTAACAAAATATGACAAATAAAATATATATAATATAATATTATGTGACAAACACCAAACCAGGATGAGTATGATTGTTACTGCAATCAATCCTCAGTAACCTAATAATGATGGGTTCTGGAAGGGGGAATGGCGATTGGCAAATGGATAGATATAATTAATTATATTATGTTGTAAGTACAAACTAAAAATTTGCGGACAAAAAAGTTCATTGATGTGGGTGAAGGGGGCCAGGGGGTGAGGTGCGAAAGTGTCCACGGGGCGGGGATAATAAAAGCGCGCGTGGTCCACGAGTGTCGATGGTCACGGCGTAAGGGTGGATGCGAGGGGCATGTGTCCACGCACGGACGACGGACCGGTGGCCACCTTAAACGGCCATTTTGCGCCCAGACATATTTACTTACCACTGGTACGATAAATCCGACGTGTACGTCGACTGGTGCGTGCAGTCCGGTCACGACTGTTCAGGCCTCTGGTACGACGGCAGCCCCGTGAAACTTAATACGCCATTCGGACGTTTATCATTTTTAAAATGAAAAAAACAAAACAGTAATAATAACACACATGCGTGTATATGAATATGATGTATTATTTGTACCGTGCATGTGTATGCGTGTGTTATTAACTGGTGTGGGTGTGTGCGTGTGAATTTTGATTTTCGAAAAATCAGAATATTTTGATATTGTGATGTCCAGAATAAAATTGATTGCCCGTTTTCGGATAGAGCCAAAAAGGAAACACCACTACTACGACCACTACTACTACATATAATATATATATATATATATATATAATTATTATTATTATGGTTTACTACTCTACTATTATTTGTCTTGGAAACGAAAAAAACTTATGATAAGACGGCGTGACATCGGCAGCGATTCCGTGTATTTTTTTTTTCATCAAACGAGTRAACGTCGCGCCGTGAGATTTCAGACGAAAATCTATTTCCGCGTTCGGCTCACAAGTTATTATAATGTAATTTATTTTCGCGGTGTTATTAAAATAATATTATTCGTCGGGTGAGAGGGAGTAATTTGTAGTGTGAGAGAGACTAGAGAGAGGCAGAAAAAATTTAAAATAATAAAATTACGTACACCACTTAAACTCGATACATATGTTGTGTTTTTCATGATTTTCTCAACTGTAATAGTGTATTGGAGAATCGCGACAGACTGGTTTAGTGGTTTCCCACCCATAATCTCTATCGATAGCGCGCTCGCGCGATAGTCCGGCTGCGGCGGCGTGCCGGTCGACCTTCCCCCTCTCCACCGTTCCGACCGAAGCGGTGTACCAGTACCATGGAAGCCCTGTACCACCTAACCGCCTGAAAGCTGTAAAGTGATTAGTGAATACGAGAAAATCGAGTTCTCCTTCACTACACGACCATTAAGATAATAATTATCTATAATCTCGACACATCGTCATCAAAACCGTCTGCGMTTGCAACGCTCTATTCACTTTTCGCWACACCGTCCGAGAGGAACGTTTGCGTTTCTATCATCAATACCGTTGAGCACAGACTTCACACTCGCCTACGCCGGCCACCCCAAACGAATCACCGACTGGAAAATGTCCGGAAAAGTGCTACTCACCGACGACGCGGCGTACAAGGCCCTAGCCGAACACTACGCAACCATTGGTTCGTCGTTGAACATGAAGAATCTGTTTGCCAGTGACAGTGATCGTTTTGACAAGTTCAGGTGAGATTAGATTGTATCAACTACTTTTAATATTTTCGAACTACGGTTCGTCCCGTCTGATCTAATACTACTKAGATGTACGCCAATGCTTTAAATACCCTTTATTAAAATAAGTCCCTGGGCGTTTTGTGGATTCGTTTTTGATTACTTGGATCAGCATCTGGTTGTGACTCAGACTCAGTGTTTGAATGACAAGGATACTTTTTGATATTATAAAAAATGAAAATAAAATAAAACCTTCATAATAAATTCAAGTATATCATTCATAAATCATAATAGGTAATAAATTATAAGAAAACTTATTCGGAGGTTAGGWGATCACCCTCAGCTCCCCTATAAATGTCCATTGATCCAATGTTTCTTAAGGTAAATATTTTAAATTTTCCAAGTTTAAATTTTTTTGTGTATAAGTAGTTACACTTTGTAAAACTACTCATCAATACCTAGTTKTACCTTCTACACTTATGTCTTGTAAGTTGTAGTTCTTATTTATATTCTGATAATCTCGAGAATATCCTCTATTTTAGATTTCTTAGGTGGATTTTGATTTTCATTCTAAAACACATTATACTGAATTCATAGTTATCATAATATTTAAAAAAAGGTACTATTACTTAACTAATAATTTACAATATATTAGACAATAATTTAGTCTACAGACTGATTTGATTTTAAACAAAGTATCATAAATACCATCATTTTTTAATTTTACCTATGTTATACATTATATTTTTGTGTTATTAATAGGTGTTTGTTTTCATGCAGTTAACATCATGAAAATTATGTAAACCATGTTTTAAGCATTGACCCTCAAATAGATAATATTAAACCTATATAAATATGAAAAGTGAATTGTTTATATATCAAGGATTTGTAAAGAAAGAAACAGTATGGGCTATGGTCAATAGTCACTTCTTTCAAGGTTATTATTTTTTGATCGTGAAAAATGATTTTTTCCTGGATCTTGTGACCTTGTGTTCTAACATTAATTTAACACATAGTATTTSATAATTTGATAAATTATAAAACATTGTTATGTAAATTAATCATTTTTAAAAGGGTAGGTATTATGATTTAAAAAAAAGTTATACTTAATWTAGTGCTTTAGATTTTATCTTAATTTAATGAAATCAAAGTAACCAATAGATGTCTATACTTACTTATTTATTAATTTCAATGGTTAATTAATTTATACTTGTTTTTTTTTTTTAGCTTACGATTAACTACCCCTAATGATGGTGACGTGTTACTTGATTATTCAAAAAATCGTGTGGATAAAAAAACTTTAAATTTATTGTTTAATTTGGTAAGAAAATATTTATTTTTTTTATATAGAACACTGACCTTTAAAAAAAAAAAGAAATATGAATGCCCTTGAAATAAGTTAGTGAAAGTTTATTTGATTATTAAAATATATAATGAATATTTCAATTAAAAATTAAACTATTGTATTTTAAAAATACATACAGATGCGGTTAATATATCTTGCTGTTCTACTATCTTAGCTTTATAAAAAAACAATCATACATAGTAAATATCCTACTATGTTTAAGCATTTCCTGGGTTAATAATTATTATTAAAACCAGAAAAAAATACAAAATTAATATGTTAAATAATAGCAATTAAAATTCTTAGCAAGAAATATAATACTTTTAATGTTTTCTTTTATATTAAATGATAAATTTTTCTTTGATTAATTCAGGCAAAAGCTCGTAAAGTTGAAGAAGCTAGGTCTGCTTTGTTTAGCGGTGAGCGAATAAATGTAACAGAAAAACGACCAGTGTTGCATATTGCCTTACGTAATCGGTCTAATAAGCCAATAGTAGTTGATGGCCAAGATGTAATGCCAGAAGTTAATAGTGTTCTGAAGCACATGAAAGAATTCACTGAAGAAGTAATACTTGTACCTTAAATATTTTGAAGATGTAGAGTTAAAAATCTTAATAAATATTTTTATTATAAAGGTAATATCACAAAAATGGTTAGGATACACAGGAAAACCTATTGAAGATGTAGTCAACATTGGTATTGGAGGATCAGATTTGGTAAGTTTTTTAAAAAAAGTTAAACCTTTCATAGACTTGAATTATTTGATAAACGTAAATTCTTCAAGTTTTAGAATGTAAAGAAAAGGTTAGATACAAATATAACAATATATAATAGATTTCTCTATTTGCACCTAATTGAATATAATATAATAAATTGGTAATTCAAACTAAATTAGATATGAGATCCAAGCTGTATTTGGCTTAAGTATATTTTATTTTGTGTTAATAATTGCTGTATCTCAATTTCAATAGTCATAATTACATAATATTTTGTTTTGTTTAATAATTGTTAAAATTATTACCCATTTTTAACAATTCACTCAGACTAACTATAATATGACTATTTAAGCATTTTTATCTCATATCACGTGATTTAAGCTTTAACTTTTTCAAGGTTACAAACAACCAGTTGACTTTATTATTCAGCATTCAGATAATTGATTCCATGCTAAAATATATTTTTGTTTTAACAATACAAATTCTGATATTATCTTATCTTTCTTATGGTAATAAGTTATTAGTTCCAATTTATTATAGAATTGTTTTGCCCTTTAAATGTTTGCAATATCAGTTAATTAATATATTTTTAGCATATATTTAATAATTAAGTAGATTGTGTAAAATGTAAATTATTATGGATTATACAGAGTGGAGCATTGAAAAGGGCGATTTTCATATCTATATATTATATAAGATAATCACCCTTATTTTTGCCCACCCTGTAGTTAGTTTAATAGTTATTCATACTAGATGACTTTTCCAGGGTCCATTAATGGTGACAGAAGCATTAAAACCTTATGCTATAGGTCCCCGTGTTCATTTTGTATCTAATATTGATGGGACTCATTTAAAAGAAGTATTGAAGAAGGTTAAACCAGAAACTGTGCTATTTATAATTGCTAGCAAAACATTTACCACTCAAGAAACTATAACAAATGCAACATCTGCTAAGAAATGGTTTTTGGAAACTGCTAAAGATGTAAAATTATATATATAATATATATATTTATACCATTTATAAGCTAATTTTATTCTATTATTTTATTAGGAATCCAATGTTGCTAAACATTTTGTTGCTCTCTCTACTAATAAGGAGAAAGTGACCGAATTTGGAATCGATAAATCTAACATGTTTGGTTTTTGGGACTGGGTTGGTGGACGTTACTCACTTTGGTCAGCCATTGGTCTTTCAATATGTTTATCTATTGGTTTCGAAAATTTTGAATCTTTATTGAGTGGTGCACATTTTATGGATCAACATTTTGTCAACGCTCCGTTGGAGGAAAATGTTRGTTTTTTTAAAAATACTACTTGCATTTAGTTAATTAATTTTCATTATTTTTTGTTTTCAGGCACCTATTATTTTGGCTTTATTGGGAATCTGGTATCATAACTTCCACGGTGCTGAAACACATGCACTTCTTCCTTATGATCAGTACTTACATAGGTTTGCTGCATATTTCCAACAAGGTGACATGGAATCTAATGGAAAATCTGTTACATTAAATGGTACTCCGATTTCATCATATTCTACTGGGCCCATTGTCTGGGGTGAACCTGGTACAAACGGCCAACATGCATTTTATCAACTAATTCATCAAGGTACTCGTCTCATACCAGCGGATTTCATTGCTCCTGCTGTTACCCACAGTTGTATTAGTGAAGGAATTCACCACCAGGTAACATGAATTCATTTAAATTAAGTGCGATTGTAATCAAAATTACACTTATTATTTATTTACAGATTTTGATGGCTAACTTTTTGGCTCAAACTGAAGCACTCATGAAAGGTAAAACTCCAGATGAAGCACGTAAAGAGCTTGAAGGATCAAATTTAGACGGTGCTGAACTTGAAAAGCTGGTTGCACACAAAACATTTTCTGGAAATCGTCCAACCAACTCAATTGTATTTAAGCAAATAACTCCATTTACATTGGGATTATTGATTGGTAAATATAATTTGATTGTATATAATATATTTTTAACAAGTTATTAAATTATGTTTATATATATATATATATATATTATAGCTTTGTATGAACAAAAAATATTTGTCCAAGGTATTATTTGGGATATCAATTCGTTTGATCAATGGGGGTAAGTTTACTTCATTAATCAAACATTTTTTTTAATTTAACATTAATTTGTTAATTGTATCTTTAGTGTTGAACTAGGCAAACAGTTAGCCAAAAAAATTGAACCAGAACTTAAAACGCCAAACAAGATTACTAGCCATGATTCATCAACTAATGGTCTCATCAATTTTATCAAATCCAATTGGGCTTAATCCATACTGGGCTAATCCAGTCTAATTTTGTTATTATTTATTAAATTGTTTATTTAGAAGGCTAGTATTTGTGTGGAAACAAATCATATTTTTATCATTTGTTTAATTGTTGTGTAATAAATTATTAGAATTTGATTTTAAATCACTTTACATCAATCTATTAGTTTATTTTTATTGTTATGTTGAGTTAAAAAAGATAAATCATATCATTTTAAGATCTTTAAAAAATTCGTTAGAATACTATAAGTTTAACCAAATAGTTAAAAAGAAATGCAATTTCGCAATACAAACAAACACATTTTAAACTTAACTTCTTATCAGAAATAGTGTTAACATATTGAATTGTTTTAATTTCATTTGGAGTTTAAACTTAATAATTATCTTTTTCTGGGAAAGAATTCAAACCAAAATGAATATTTTTCAATTTCATTTAAAAACATGTAAATAATGTCGACGTTTGTTTACCAAACCGGGACGATGTTAATAGAGCCACCAGACAGATTAACCATGTTTAGGTATATATACACATTATACTATAGTTAATATCRGTTCTCAGTAATTTATTTAGATATAACAATTTTAATAACAAAACCAATAATCTGAATACTTTAGAACCCAATACCTGTTTAAAACAAACCATTAAATTGAGATAGGTACATCTTATTTAGAATATGGTTATTTTCTATACTCTTTCACGAGAGAACGGGACCGTCTTCTGACCAAAACTAGTCGCCGCCGCGCATCTCTCACTCAAAAACACAAAATTGAAAAACGGGTCATTAATGTCGGTAACTGTCAATAATTAGCGAATACGTGGAGGGGATTTCACAGGCAGACGAGCTGAGTCTGAGCTCATTCTACATGCGCGAAACGGTCCCGTTCTCTCGTGAAAGAGTAAAGTTGATTTTACTTAAAAATCTTAGCTTTAAACTTTAAAGCAGTTCCATACATTTAGAATATTATTTATTATTTTAWAGGTTGCATACAAAAACCGCACACTTTTGATTTTGACCCTAAAAAGGTCGATAGCCAAAAACCGCACAGCTTATCGGTCATTGTATAACAAATTACCGTRCATTTATAGTGGGTTAAAACCGCACACTATTTTTAGGTAGTGAAAATAGTGAAAAGATAAGATTATAAGATATGTACTATTCAATAATCAAGTATTTAGTTGTCACTCGTTATTAGTCGGTCTCGTGTCGGTTAGTGTACCTACGTCTATAACTTAGTGTAAAAATGTTAATATCTTAAATTTTTATAATGGATTTTAAAATTATTGAAAGTAACAAAGGGAGCAAGTGCTTATTACTTGATGATTTTAAATACAGAAAATGTAGAGCAAATATTAGTGGAAATGTGGTTTGGCGGTGTTATATTAAAAATTGTACATCCACGGTTRCAACATGCAGTCAATTGAATAATATACTAAAAATAAATAACACACACAAACATGAACAGGTGGAAACTGTGAAAATTCAAATTCAAGARGTACGTAATGTATGTAAACGCAAGGCTTGTAATGACATTCATGAAAGACCGCGAAAAATAATACGGAAAGAGGTATCATCCATAGAGAATAATGAAGTAATAGGAAGCAATGACGTAAACTTAATAAGGAAGTCGATATATAATGAACGTAGGAAACTTTTACCAACTTTACCGAAAAGTTTGGAGGRCGCTCTAAACTTTGTTTCAAATAGTGATATTTTAACCTGCCAAAATGAAAAAATGACCTTCGTGTATAAACAAGATGAAATGATTATTATTWCGTGTAAAAAATATATTGAATTTTTATGTAATCATTGTGATGAATACTTAGCCGACGGTACTTTTACATATAAACCAAAGTATTTTTATCAATTGTATACTATACACGGATGGAGCAGAAATTATTATTTTCCTTTAGTACATTGTTTTTTACCTTCTAAAACTGAATCGTGTTACTTAAAAATGTGGGTCAATATTAAAAATATATGTTTGGAGTTAGGACAAGTTTTAAATATAAACATTATCCATTTTGATTTTGAGATAGCTGCTCATACGGCTATGCAAAACACATTTTCTGGAGTAACAGTTAAAGGCTGTAGATTCCACTTTGGTCAAGCTTTATGGCGGAAAATCCAATCAAACAATAACCTTCGGCAATCATATAATGCTAAGCAAAACGTCGGCAGTCGGTTTAACTTTGAAAGTTTTAAATTTTTTTTAAATTAATATTTTAAATTTTAGAAATACCTATAAATTTTTAGTTTTACATTGTTTTTTTAAATTAATATTTTAAATTATTGAATATATACATTTTTTTTGATGAACTATGAGAATAATGRGAACAAATAATTAATTATACACATACATATGCGTTTTTTGTTTATCGACCTTTTTGGGGTCAAAATCATAACTGTGCGGTTTTTGGATACAACAATTTTTAAAATTGTGCAGTTTTAACCTATTAAATGTGTGCGRTTTTAACCTGCCAAAAGTATGCGGTTTTTTCCTGTATTTTATCAAAAGTGTGCGGTTTTTGGAGTCAACGATTTTAAACTCAGCTTAATTTAATAATGTAATAATATGTATAAAGTAACCAATAACAGTGTGGTCGAAACAATAGGGATTGGAGGCATACCCCATCAATTTTCTTATAAAATAGCATAATAATATATCCACAATTCACATTATGTAAAATATATAGTACATTATATTATATTAATTTATTCATTAAAACAAAACAATTAATCTAATAATAATATTATAATTGTAATAAAAATAGTTCGGTTAAGTTTCCAAATACTTWAAAAAAAAATTTTTCAATAAAGATTTTTTATCCACCTTACCCATAGCATTTCTGGGTACCTCTTCAACTATGTTAATAACTGTCGGTACACTATATGGTGGTAATACAGTTTCAGCCCAACTTTTTAAATCCTTTTTAAATTTTTTATGATCAACATTAGTTGTGTGCTGTTCATCAATAACAATCAAAGCACCTATTCGCTGTCCCCAAGTACTATCTGGTAATCCAACCACAGCAATATCTTTGATCATTTTGTTTTGTAACATAATAGTTTCAACAAACAACGCACTAACTTTATAACCTCCTGTTTTTATAATATCTATTGATGATCGGCCTAATATTTTAAAACTATCATCAACATAGCTCACAGTGTCTCCTAAAAACAAAATTAATTTATTAATTTATTAACAAGATACAAAAGGTACATTCAAGCATAGACTTACCGGTTTTAAACCATCCATCTTCAGTAAATTCTTTTTTTGTTGATTCAGGTTTATGCCAATATTCCTTAAACACATTCTCCCCTTTTATTTGTAAATCCCCACAATAACCTTCTTTATTATCCGGCTTTACTGGATTGACAATTTTGGTATTTTTACTGTTCCCTTCTAGTAATATGATGTTGTCCTTGACAATTCTGACATTTACACCTGGTAAAGGTTGACCAACAAAACCTAGATAGATAAACAAGTAGCAGTTAGTTCAAAACATACTATTTTTATTTTTAGAAATATTCTATCTGTCAATGAATTTCAATGTATTATTTATTATTTTGTTCAGTATGTGTATTGTTTCAGTACCAAATTGTATTAATTTAGTCCAAGATGCCTAATTATTAGAGTACGGATTTTGAAGGCATTTGCTTTTTTTTTCTATTGCTCTAAAACGAAGCTATGTCAGCTACAAATTCGATTTATACTACTATATTACTATGCACGAAATTTTATTTTGCTCTTTTGGGCATTTTTAGTACATTTTTTCAAAATGTGTTCTTTTTAAACGTATTTGAAGTATTAAATTTTATTTTTATATTAACTAATTTGTTTTCCAAGGTAATGGCAAGTTCAATAGATTTTATCTCSTTATGTACGATAACTTTATTGATGTAATTTAGATACGTATAGACATATAGGTAGTATATTGTATAAAGTAGAATAAGTAGATTAATTTATCTTGAAACGACAATAAACACAAAAATATGCTTTTGCTCTAGCAATTATCTACTCTGAATTAGGTACAGTTTAGTTTTTGTTTTATCACCGCATAGTTCGTTATTCTTACCGATTGTGATTTACAAAATGCCGAAAATTATTAATGCTAGTGCCCATCTTCGCAATTTTGTAAAAGAATTTGGTGAAGATATTTTTCCTTTTGACAATGCTGTACTTTTTTGCGAAGTATGTGGTGTTAAAGTTTCTGCCAAAAAAAATATAATATTCAACAACATATTGCTAGAGGTAAGCATATCCAGCAGTTTAATATTAGAAATCAACAAGAAAAACCAAATTCTCAGGTTCTAGTCACAGGTTTGTCAATGAAATCACCATTCAATGAAGAACTGAGTAATGTTTTTTTGTCCGCAAATATCCCTCTCACTAAATTAAATATACCAATAGTTTACAGTTTTCTAATAAACATACTTTTTTTTATAATAAATAATTTTTTAAAACCTATTTTTAATGCTATTTTGGAAGATTTAAACAGCTTTATTGCTTTTTTTTTAGTTTATTATTGCTTTAAAATCCGTGCTCTACTAATTATACTCAATATATTGATTGAAATTATAAATGAATGAATAGTTGTAGAAAAAGTAATAGAGTACAACTCTCATTACAATTAATTTCTATATCATATTATAATACTAAATACAGAGATCATATAGTAATATCTCTTTCATACTCTAACATTTTTTTTAATATGGAGTGTAATAAATGAATATAAGTTGCTTCTGTGCATGTTAGAAAATCRAAATAAATTATATGTTCTGATATAAATAAAAAAATCTAATTTTATAATTTGTAATAACATTAACCTGGTTTTCTTTCGCCATTTAGAGGATTGGAAAGAGCCATTCCAATTTCACTCATACCATATCGTTCTAGCAATTTATGACCAGTAATCTGTTCCCAACGGCTAAATAATGTACTGGATAATGGTGCAGAGCCACTAACCATCAGTCTAAAATATAATTTTATATTATAAAATAAATATAACATAAATTACAAAACATAAACTTGCCTGATTTTTTGAGAACAAACAGCTTTAACATATTCTACCATTCTATCATTTTTCTCAAACATTTTCTCATAACTTTCTATGAGTTTTACATACATAGTTGGTACACCCATAAACATGT